AGGAACAATAGGAATGGGGGGAAGGATAATGCAGGAGGAAGGAGGAGGTGGAGGAGGACGAGGAGGAGGAGGATGACGAAAATGACAAAGATGAAACATTGTATGAAGCAAAAGAATGAGAAAACACTATTACGAATCAGAATGACAATAATGAAGAATAGGGTTCATAATAGTAATCAGCATACTAATAACTTTGAAGCAAAAAAACATCTGATTCATAATCCTAATATCAAGAACACTAATGACAATACTGAGAATAACCATACTAATCGTAAAACGAGTATTGCGAGTCTTATTCCTATTCTGGATACTATTAAGAATACGTGGAACAATACCTTACTATTACTACTACTACTACTACTACCACTACTACTACTACTACTACTACTGCTACTACTTTTACGACGACTACTACTACTAGTATTAATAGTACGATTCGCACGAATGCGACTCATGCTGCAATCTGTATATATATATGCCACACAGTAGTAATACTTATAATCATAATGGTATTAGCAGTCGAAGTAGTAGTAGTAGTAGTAGTAGTAGTAGTAGTAGTAGTAGTAGTAGTAGTAGATGTAGTAGTAGTAGTAGCAGTGGTAGTAGTAGTAGTAGTAGTAGTAGTAGTAGTAGTAGTAGTAGTAATAGTAGTGGTAGTAGTAGTAGTAGTAGTAGTAGTTGTAGTAGTAGTAGTAGTAGTAGTAGTAGTAGTAGTCGTAGTAAAAAGTACTCTGTAGTCGTCTATAGTAGTAGTATGTAGTAGTAGTAAGTAGTATATTAGTCTAGTAAGTATATAGTAGGTATAACGAGTAGTAGTATAGAAGGAGTACGAGAGTAGTTAGGTATCGTTGTGTATATAATATAGTATTAGTAAAGTAGTAGTATAGTATAGATATTGTAAATAGTAAGCTTAAATTGTTGTAAATATAAATAAAAAAGTGTAATGAGCAGTAGTATAGTACATGAGTATAGTAAAGTAGTTTAATAAAGATAATTATGTTTAATGAGAGATACAGTAAAAGGCGTAGTAGTGTCGTAAGTATGTCTATTAGTATATGTAGTAGAGTAAAAATTAGCAGTAGTTATAGTAGTATAGTAGTAGTAGGTAGTTATAGTAGTTGGTAGTAGTAGTAGTAGTAAAGAAGTAGTGAGTAGTAGTAGTATGGTAGTGTAGTAAGTATAAGTAAATATGTATAAGAAAACGCGAACAAGAAAGTCGATTATTCGCACATTAGTTAAAGTACGTGAGTAATGATATAGTTGTATAAAGTCGTAGAAGCAAGTCGTTGAGCAAATACAGCGATAATGCATTAGTAAGAGTATTAGCTTAGTAGTATAGAGATTAAGTAATTAAGTATAGTATAGAGAATGGATAGTAGCTAAAGTAGTAGTAGTAGTAGTAATTCAGTAGTAGTAGTAGTAGTAGTAGTTGTAGTAGTAGTAGTAGTCAGAAGAGTAGTAGTAGTATAGTATAGTAGTAGTAGTGAGTGATTAAAGTTTATTTGACAATAATTAAGCAGCAGTAGTAGTAGTGGTAGTAGTAGTAGTAGTAGTAGTAGTAGTAGTAATAGTACTAGTAGTCGTAATATCAATACTGATAATAATAATATATTGATAGTATGGGTAATATTAGTACTAATACTATTACTAGTACTATTCACTTCACTGTTAATACTACGGGTCGTAGTGTAACTGCTTTTCTTGTATTACTACTACTACTACTACTACTACTACTACTACTACTACTACTACTACTATTACTACTACTACCACCACCACTACTACTACTACTACTACTACTACTACTACTACTAATAACACTAACACTCATACTATTAATATTGATATTATTATTTATATTAATAGTATTAAACAAACTATTAGTGCACAGTAATAATGAATACTAGCCATGATACTACATACCTTGATTACTGATGCGAATGGTCCTAATAATATTAATAAGACGTCTAATCGTATTATTACTAATCCTACGGATAATACTGCTAATACTCCAGCAGAAACTATTAATAGTACTGGTAATGATGAGGATGAGGAAGAGGAGGAGGAAGAGGAGGAGGAGGAAGAGGAGGACGGACGGATGAGGGAGGGAGGGAGGGACGGATGGGAGGAGGAGGAGGAGGAGGCAGGAATATGAGGAGGAGGAGTCGGAGGAGGAGGAAAAAAGAGAGGAAAAGCAGAGGAGACACGAGCAGAAGCAGGAGCAAGAGCAGGAGGAGGCGGAGGGGAGAGGAGGAGGATGAGGAGGCAGGAGCAGGAGAGAGGATGATGATGATGAGGAGGAGGAGGAGGATGAGGAGCAGGCATGCGGAGAGTAGGAGGAGGAGGAGGTGGGGAGGAGGAGGAAGAGGACAAAGATGTGGAGGATGAGTTGCATAATGGGGAGCAGGAGCAGGAGGAGGGAGCGAGGGGGGAGGGGGTGAGGGAGGAGGGAGGGAGGGAGGAAGAGCTGGTGGAGGAGGAGCAGGGGGAGCGAAGCAGGACGGAATGAGCAGGAGGGAGGGTGGGAGGGAGGGAGGGAGCGAGGAGGAGCGAGGAGCCGC